TGTGCACAGCCACACAGCCACACACAACCTGCACGCCACCATGCACGGCTGTGCACGGCCACACACACAGCTGGGCACAACTGCACACACAGGATCACAGAATCAGTGAGGTTGGAAAAGACCTCCGAGATCATCGAGTCCAGCCTATGACCCAACTTGTCAACTGGATCATGGCACTAAGTTCTCAAACACCTCCAGGGACTGTGACTCCACCACCACCCTGGGCAGCCCATTCCAATACCCAATCACCCTTTCTGTGTAAAATTTCTTCCTAAAGTCCAACCTAAACCTCTCCTGGCGCAGCTTAAGACTGTGCCCTCTTGTCCTACTGCTGGTGGCCTGGGAGAAGAGCCCGACCCCCACCTGGCTACACCCTCCTGTCAGGGAGTTGTAGAGAGTAAGAAAGTCTCCCCTGAGCCTCCTCCTGTGCAGACTGAGCCCCTCCAGCTCCCTCAGCCTCTCCTCACACCACTTGTGCTCCAGTGCCTTCCCCAGCCTCGTTGCTCTTCTCTGGACCTGCTCCAGCCCCTCCATGTCCTTCCTGAGCTGAGGGCCCAGAGCTGGACACAGCACTCCGGGGGTGGCCTCACCAGTGCTGAGTCCAGGGCAAGAATCACTTCCCTGATCCTGCTGCCACACTCTTCCTGATCCAGGCCAGGACCCATTGCTCTTCTTGCCCACCTGGGCACATGCTGGCTCATGTTCACACAACTGTGCTCACCCGAGTACAACTGCAAACAGCCCTGCACGACCATGCACAGCTGCACAAAACTGCAGTCCCACACAGCCATGCACAGTCCCACAGCTGTGCACAGTCCCACACACAGCTGTACACAACTGCACACAACCATGGTCAGCCGTGCACAGCCATGCACGAACACACACAGCTGTGCACAAACACACACACAACGGTGCACACCCATTCATGATTCACAACTTCACACAACCATGTTTACGACCGTGCACAGCTGCACTCGAGCACCCACAGCTGTGCACACACACAGAGCTGTGCAAACACACACAGTCACACACAAACACAGCTGTGCACTCACACAGCTCTGCACACACACAAAGCTCTGCACAAACACACACAGAGCTGTGCAAACACACACAGTCACACACAAACACAGCTGTGCACTCACACAGCTCTGCACACACACACAAAGCTCTGCACAAACACACACAGACCTGTGCACGGAGCTGTGCCCAAACACAGCCAGCTATGCACAGCTCTCCACAAACACACAGAGCTGTGCACAAATACACACACAGAGCTGTGCATAAACACAACCATGCACAAACACACACACAACTGTGCACAAACACACAGAGCTGTGCACACAGCTGTGCACACACAGCCATGCTAACACGGACACACACACAGACACACGGACACACACACAGACACACTGACACACACACAGACACACACACACACACACAGACACACACACACAGACAGACACACACGTAGACAGACACACACACACAGACACAGACACACACAGAGACACAGACAGACAGACACACAGACACAGACAGACAGACACACACACAGACACACAGACAGACAGACACACACAGACACAGACACACACACAGACATACACACCACACACACACACACTGTCACACAGACACACACACAGACAGACACACACACAGACATACACACCACACACACACACACTGTCACACAGACACACACACAGACATACACACCACACACACACACAGTCACACACACACACAGACACACAGATACACTCACACAGACACCCCCGCACCATCCGCACCCCGCTCACTCCGCACACGGCGCTGCCCCCTCTGTGCCCCCCGAGCCCCGCGGAGGCGACGCCGCCGCTCCCGCCCCGCACACGCTCCCCCCGCTCCCGGTGCCGCTCCCGGCGGAAGGCCCGGCCGCGCTCCCTCCCCTTCCGGCGGCCATGGAGCCGGGGGAGCCGGAGGAGCCGGGCTGGGAGCCGGGCTGGGAGCCGGGCGAGCCGGGCTGGGCGCGGGGCGGGCCGGCCCTGGGCGGGCGGGGGCTGCTGGCCTTGGCCGTGGCCAGCGGGGCGGCCGCCTGGGCCACCTGGGCGCTCGTGCTGATGCCCGGCTTTCGCCGCGTCCCCCTGCGGCTGCAGGTACCCCGGCCCCCCCCGGCCCCCATCACCGACCCCCGGCCCCTGACCCCCACCCTGACCCCCCTGTGCCCCCCAGGTGCCCTACCAGCCCTCCAGCCCCCGGCAAGTGGCCAACGCCCTGGCACTGCTGCGGGGACGCGCGGGGAAGACGGTGGATCTGGGATCGGGAGATGGACGGCTCGTAAGGGCTGGCACGGGGGGGGGGGTGTCAGAGGGGCTTTGGGGTGCCCAGGGTGGGCAAGAGGGCAGGGAGGGGGGTCTGTGCTCACCGGGAGGGTGGGTGGGAGACCTACACACGTCTGCTGCCCCGCTTCTGGCTGTGGGTCTGGGTGGTCCTCCTGGCTGTGGTATGGGACAATTATAGGGGGTTCCAGAGGGTCCTGGGTGGTTCTGGATGGTCCCAAGACAGAACTAGGTGGTCCTAAATGGTCCTAGGTGGTCCTAGATGACCCTACATGGTCCTAAATGGCCATAGACAGCTCTAGGTGGTCCTAAATACGCCTATATAGTCCTAGACTGTCCTAAGTGTGGTCCTAGATAGTCCTAGATGGCCCTAGGTGGCCTTAGGTGGTCCTAGGTGGCCCTACATAGTTGTATGTGGTCCTAGACAGCCCTAGAAGACATCACATGCAGGGAGCAGGGTGGGAATGCATGCTCTGGAAGGTGCTGAGAACCAAGGTCACCTTGCCTGTGAGCCAGCTGGAGGGAGGGAGTGGAGCTGGGCAACAGCCCCTGTCCCCTCGGATCGCCCCCCAGACTCAACACTGAGATCCTTTGGTTTCACCTCTCTTCCCTCTCCAGGTGGTCGAGGCTTACAAGCAGGGCCTGAGGCCAGCCCTGGGCTATGAGCTCAATCCCTGGCTGCTGTGCCTCGCCAACTACCGCGCCTGGAGGGCCGGGTACCACGGGAAGGTCTCCTTCTTGAAGGAAGATCTGTGGAAGGTAACAGTGTCCTGAGGGTCTGGCTGTGCCAGGGCAGGGCCAGGGTTCTGTCTGCATCTCCAGGCTGGCTTTGCTGGTGGTTGCTTGCTGCTTCCCCATCCCACGTGCTCCAGGGAAGTGGAAAACCACCCTCCTTTCCAGGGGAATGGCAGAGCTCCTTCGTGGAGCAGCTTTGAGGAGAGGTCTGTGTGCCGCTGACACGGTGACGAGCTTCTAAGGCTAACATCAGGTACCCACAGCCTAACTGGAGAGAATCCCTCAGGGAATGTGTTTCTGGGATGGTGCTGGAGGCAGGTGTTTTCCAATAAGTGCTGCTTTCACACCCACATGTCCCCATCCCACATGTTTTGGGGCATCCTTGCACCCTCCGAGGTTCAGAAGAAGATCACCCACAAGGCTTGGACACTTAGATGGTTCCACCTGTTCCCCCTGTGCCTGTTGCTTCTTTCATTCCCCTTTTCCTTCCCTTTTAAGGTGGATCTTTCCGACTGCAACAATGTGATCGTGTTCCTGGCCCCCAGCGTGGTAAGTTGGTCCCTCACATCCTGAGTTGTTCAGGGGGAGCTCGAGGAGGCTTTTCTTGGAATAGAGAGGATCTGGGACAGAATAAGGCCAAGGGGGCATTTCTGTGAGCGAGTGATTTGGTGCTCAGCAGCAGCAGGATTTATAAAACCATGGAATTGTTAAGGTTGGAAAAGCCCTCTGAGTTCATCAATCCAGCCATTCCCCCAGCACTGCCAAGGCCACCACTGACCCATGTCCCCAAGTGCCACATCCACGTGGCTGCTCCAGGGATGTTGACCCCACCCCTGCCCGTGCCAGGGCCTGACCACCCTGTCCATGAAGAAATGTTCTCAATATCCAATCTAAACCTCCCCTGGCACAACTTGAGGCCGTTTCTTCTTGTCCTGTTGCTCATCACTTACTCCTGGTCCCAGCCTTACACAGGGCCAGTACCAGCCCTGTGTTTTGAATGCTTGATGCCCCTGCTCGGGACCCACCAGAAGCTGCCCTGTGATCCCTGGTGGCACTGCCACTACATGACCGTGTCCTAAGGTTGCCTGGCCCTGGCTCTTCTCTCCCCAGAAACCTCCCTTGGCCACGAAGCTCCTGGCAGAACTCCCCGACGGGGCCCGGGTGGTGTCTGGACGCTTCCCCTTCCCGTCCTGGACTCCCAGCAGCACCCTGGGGCAGGGGCTGGAGCAGGTCTGGGCCTATGACATGAAGGAGGTGCGTCGAGCAGCGCAGAGCAGCGCCCAGGGGAGCCCAGTCTGACAGCAGCCTTGTTAAGCTCAGTCTAACACCAGCCTCATTAAGCCTGGCATTAAGGGTCAGAGCCTCTCCAGCCCTAGGCTCAGCTCAGGACAGCAGTGCTTGGCCAGGATTTGTCCTGGGGACTTGCAGGGTGGCAGTCACTCAGTTTTCCAAAGAGTTTGGGAGAAGCAAGGGAGGAGAAAATCAGACCTAGAAATCCTGGGATTAACACAAGATTTAAGGACTAAAGCTCCAGTGCCTCTTTCTGTATGTTTACTACTTTATTTAATTTTTCAAAATAAATCTTTGGTTGGTTGTTCCTTTGAGGTTTTTGGTTTGCCTTTGAGCTGCAGGACAGTCCTGGAACCAGAGCATGCATCGGTCCTGGACTCTGGCTTTGCTCCACTGTCCCTTTGAAGGTAACACAGGAGGGAGTGTGTCCAGCTCACCTCCCTGAAGGATCAGCTTGGCCCTCTCATCTGTGTGACATTCCATTTTCCACTCAAACACAGAGAAAAAAAGGGGTTTCCCACCACAGAATCTTAGGATCATACAATGGTTTGGGTGGGAAGGCACCTCAAAGTTCATCTCCTTCCACCCCCTGCCATGGGCAGGGACACCTTCCACCAGCCCAGGTTGCTCCAAGCCCCGTCCAACCTGGCCTTGGACACTCCCAGGGATGGGGCAGCCACAGCTTCTCTGGGCAACCTGTGCCAGGGCCTCCCCACCCTCACAGGTAAAGAGCAGCTCATCCCTTTGTCCAGCCTCAGAGTGCCTTGAGCCAGACTTGGCTCCGTGTCACGGGAGCTGGGAGGGAGGGGAGCGAGGCAGGAGCAGCCCTTGGGCTCTGGTCCAGGTCTCACCCAGAAATGTTACAGCAGGAACAGGAACCTGTCCCTGCAGCCCAGCATTAAAGAGCTGCCTGGGAACCTGACCCCGTGTCCGTGATGTGCTCAGGGAACAGCAGAATTCCTGCAGCCCGGGGATAGACGAGGAAAGACGAGACACAGTTGTCTCTTCTCATTTTAGTCCTGTGAACTCGAGACGGGGAACACCCACGTGCTTTCCCAGCTCCCGGCCTGGGCAGGATACTTTCCTGGCAGTCCGTAGAACACAAACCTCCTGCTTTGAATCCCGCTCTTCCCTGTGTTGGTGCTGCTCCTCACGGAGTGCTATGGATCATGGCTGACAGTCCTGGCTCTGGGCAGGGGGGGAGCAGCAGCTGCCCTGGCACTGAGCACACGTGGCCCCTCGCTGCCCTCAGCGTTCCTGAGCCGCAGGATCTCCTGCTTGTACCTGCAGTGGGAAGCAGCACAGTGCAGGCACAGTGCCCGGGCACTGAGCCATGCCAGGAGCTGTGCCTGGCGAGTAGGAACCCACAGCCTTTCATTTCAAAGGTGTTCATGGGCTCTGCAGAGCCTGACCTGAGTTCCCAGGTGGGGAGTCAGGGCAGGAAAGATAGATCATGGTCTGACAGACAGGCCCTGCTTGTCCTCACCCTTCCCTGCCCCAGCAGTTCCTCTCCTGCTCCGGGGCAGGATGAGCCAGGGAGAGAGGAACATGGATCAGGGGCTGCTGGGAGGCTTCATATTTTAGGCAACCCCCTCTTAGCCCCTTGTGAAGGCTCCAAGGAGACCTTAGAGCCCCTCCCAATGCCTAAAGGGGCTCCAAGGGAACTGGAGAGGGACTTTGAACAAGGGCCTAGAGTGACAGGACAAGGGGGAATGGCTTCCCACTGCCAGAGGGCAGGGTTAGATAGGATATTGGGAAGGAATTCTTCTCTGTGAGGGTGGTGAGGCCCTGGCACAGGTTGCCCAGAGAAGCTGTGGCTGCCCCTGGATCCCTGGAAGTGTCCAAGGCCAGGCTGGACGGGGCTTGGAGCAACCTGGGCTAGTGGAAAGTGTCCCTGCGGTGGCAGGAAGGTGGAACTGGATGGGTTTTAAGGTCCCTTCCAATCCAAACCATTCCATGATTCTATGATTCCTCCGAAGGATGGGTGAGCAGGGAAGGAAGGAGACATGTGGCTGGGCATGTGTGTGTCCCTGCTCTGTGGAACAAGGGCTGGTGGCAGCTGCCTGCACAGCTGGAGGTGCAGCAGGACATCAGCCGTGCTGGCAGTGCTGTGGCAGTGCCAGCAGTGGACACTGACAGCGTGGTGGGCACCATGATGTCCCTGGCAATGAGCCTGGAGATAAACTGGGAGCACAGGGCAGAGCAGGGGGATCCCACTGTCTCACCTGGCAAGATGCTGATCTACGTACTCCTGCAGCTCCAACACCTGCTCCTCTGCCACGACAGCCCGAGTCAGCAGCTGGCTCCTCTCCTGCTCCAGATCCTCCTGGAGGGGCAAAGAAACGTGGAGAAAACATGGAGAAAACAGGGAGGTCTGTGAGATTGGAGTGAAGTTGCTCAGTCCCTCTCTTCCAGGCCCTTCCAACCACTTCCCCATCGCTCTGGCCTCTCAGCCACAGCAGCTCTGGTTTTTTGGCCACAAAAATACACCCAGTGTAGGTGTTTGGCTTTCAACATCCCCAGGTAATGATGGAGCCCTTCCTCAGGTCACCGTGGACAGGGAAAGGCACGACATGAAAGCAAATATCTTTGCACCCAGGGGGAACCAGACTGGGAAGCTGATTCAGATTCAGCCTAGGCTTGAACCAGGTCAAACAGAATCATGGAATCAACAGAATCATGTAGGTTGGAAAAGCCCTCTAAAATCATCAAATCCAACCACTTCCCCAGCACTGCCAAGGCCACCACTAACCCACATCTCCAAGTGCCACATCCATATGGCTTTTAAATCCCTCTAGGAATTGGGACTCCACCTCTGCCCTGGGCAGCTGTGACAGGCTTGACCATCCTTTCTCTGAAGAAATTTTCCCAATATCCAATCTAAACCTCCCTGGCACAACTTGAGGCCATTTCCTCTTGTCCTGTCCCTTGTTCCCTGGGAGCAGAACCTGACCCCCCCCCGGCTCCCCCCTCCTGTCAGGGAGTTGCAGAGCCAGAAGGTCCCCCCTGAGCCTCCTTTTCTCCAGACTGAACCCCCCCAGCTCCCTCAGCCCCTCTTGCTGCTCCAGCCCCTTCCCCAGCTCCGTTCCCTTCTCTGGACACGCTCCAGCCCCTCAGTGTCCTTTTTGTCATGCAGGGCCTAAAATTGACCCCAGGATTGGAGGTGCCTCAGCAGTGCCAGCACAGGGGACGGGCACCCCCAGTTGGTTATAGAGATGCCAAGAGGCTTGTTCTGAAACATAGGCAGGAGCCATGAGGGGCTGCTCTCCTTCCTTTGGCAGCAGGGACAGTAGAGCCTTGAGACATCACCCGCTGGGACCTGTCAGCATCACCTGATGGGCTGAGGCCAAAGCCACAGCAAGGCTCCATGGAAGGTGGTCCCCAGGGCAGTGGTCATCACGGCCCCAAGGCTGCCAGACCTCAAGGACTGTTTGGACAATGCTCTCAGGGACAGGGTGGGATTGCTGGGGTGTCTGTGTAGGGCCAGGAGTTGGACTGGATGATCCTTGTGGATCCCTTCCAACTCGAGATATTCTGTGATTCTGTGAAAGTTTCCCCCCTCCAGCTTGGAGCAGCACATCGGCCCCAGGGCAGCACAGCTTTGCCACGTGGGTGAGGGATAAGCTTTTACTCCAACAGGCTGTTCCAGACTTTTACCTGGGTGTTGTGTGTGAATTCCCGGAGCTGCTTCCTGACCTCTGCCCAGCCCTCCTCATCCAGCTGCCTGCGAGAGAAGAGCATATTTGGATCACGCCCAGATATCAGATCCAGCCCACCCACAGGTCACACAGCTCCACACAACTCATGCCCATCCTACCATGAACCCCAGTGCTTGAACCTTTCCTCTCCCAGTGCCCAAACCTCTTCAGGGTATGTGGCACCATTCCATGCCCAGGCACGGGAGTCACAGCCCTTCTGCCAGCCCAGGATTGCCCACCAGGGCAGCTGGGTCTGTTCCAAATCACATCATCACTCGCACGTCGGAGGCCTCTGTGCAGAAAGAGCCCCGAACCCGGCACTGCAGGGCTGGGTTTGGTGGGAGCAGGGAGCCATCAGTGCCCGAGGCTGGCGCGGGGAGCACGGCCCGTTCTGGTCAGCGAGCACGATAGGTGAGCTGTCTGCTCAGCCCGGCGTGGGAAAGCCCTTCCCACTGCCTCCCAGTCTGAGGGAGGAAAATAACAGGTCACATCTGATGCTCGGGGAATTTGGGCTGTGTGAGGGGGGGAATGCATTGTGCTCCCAGCGGCTCCGGTGGCTGCAGCTTCCCAGCCCAGGGAGATCCCGGCTGGGATGCCATGGGAGCAGGAAGAGAAGGGGACAATAAACAGGGAGTCCATGCAGCTGATAAGCCTCCATGGCATGGGGGGTGGAATGAGATGGTCTTTAAGGTCCCTTCCAACCCCAACTATCCTGTGATTTAATGATAAAAGCAAGAAGCAGGAACTAGGGCTGAAGTGCTGTGGGAACACTGGGATTCATGTCACTAGCTGGAGGGGTGAGGTAACAGCATGGATAAACCCATCACAGTTTGAAGTTTGGTCTCTTGACAGTTAAAAAACCTAAAGAAGATGCATCACTAAAATTCACACTCTGGATTTTCTGTGTCTTGCTCCTGTGGTGAGTCTGATAAAATTAATGCATCTACTCAAGGACTGCTTCTATTTTCAGTGTGGAAAGCATGGCAGAGGCTGTTTGAATCTCAAGCTTGTGCCTGAGACCCTTCCAGAGCCCAGGGGCTCTGGCACTGACCCACTCCATGGTGCTGGCACCCAGCTAATGGAATACCTGACATGTTTTCTGGGTGACCACATCTTAAAAGGCTGAAAAATCCCAGCTTAGGTTTCTCCTACGCTTTGTTCCAGCTCTCCACAGCTCTAGCTGTTCGAGTTTCAGCAGAAAAACAGAGCAGGGGGAAAAGACTCATCAAAAATGAGCAAATCCAGAGCTTGTTGGAAAGCCAGGGAGGCATCAGCACAGTGGCACCGAAGGGTTCCAGCCTGGGAGGGAGGAGAAAACAGGACCATCCCAAACTGGTGGTGTTCCATAGCCCTTTCTCAGGTTGTGATCCACCAAAGCACTTGGGCATATGCTTAATTTCAGCTTCTAAAGAGGTCAGTGGGACTATAAACAGGATTAAATCAAATATATGCTTAAGAGCTTTCTTGGATCAAGGCCCAAATGACCAACTCTCCTTCCCCCGGGAAGGGCTGTGCTGAGGGGACAGCCAGCTGTTCTTCCCAGAGCGGGCCCAAAAGCTCCCTTTCTCCCTATTTATTGCTGTCTCCAAGTAAGCAAAAGAGATTCCTCAATGCACACATTAAGGAGAATTTGGAATGACAGATATCCTCTGAAACAAACAGCACTTACTGCTCTGGAGGCAGTGGAAAGGCAGAGGCTTCTTTCAGTCTTTTCTGGAGGCAAAAGAAGAGCAGGATTCCTGTAAGCATTCAACCATTGCAATCCCAGATCCTGCCACCTTTGTAGAAATCATGTCATGGAATGGGCTGCGTTCCAAAGGACCTCAAAGTTCGTCTTGTTCTACCTCCTGCCATGGGCAGGGACACCTCCCACCAGCCCAGGTTGTTCCAAGCCCCGTCCAAACTGGCCTTGGACACTTCCAGGGATCCAGGGGCAGCCACAGCTTCTCTGGGCAACCTGTGCCAGGGCCTCACCACCCTCACAGGGAAGGATTTCTTCCTAACATCCAATCTAAATCTCTTCTCTTTTAGTTTAAATCTGTTCCTCTTGTCCTATCAATCTCTGCCCCGTAAAAGTCACTCTCCCCCTTTTTGTAAGCCCCCTTTGAAGGGGCACAACGTACCCCAGCACTCCCACAGCCACCAGTGCCCTGGCAAGGAAATGATGTGCTGTAGAATCTTAAGGTTTTAGGTCTCCCATCCTCTGAATTTTTAAATAAATGCATCCCATGCAAATTAAGAGATGTTCCTCCCATCCCTGGAAGTGTCCAAGGCCAGGCTGGATGGGGCTTGGAGCAATCTGGGCTAGTGGAAGGTGTCCCTGCCCATGGTGGGAAGGTGGAACAAGATGAGCTTTTAAGGTCTTTTCCAACCCAAGCCATTCTGGAATTCCATGGTTCTGTGACTGGGAGATGATTGGAATATTCCCTGCCTGTGCCACGGGCACAGCAAATCCTCAGGGAGAGGGTGGATGTGGCACCCAGTAACATGGTTTAGTGGTGGCCTTGGCAGTGCTGGGGGAACGGCTGAACTTGATCATTTTGGAGGGCTTTCCCAACCTAAACAATCCTGTGAACGCCTAAGAAAGGGGCTCAGTGTCACCTTAAGGCTCTCCCCACCACCCCCAGTTTCCCTGCCCAGCCTCCACCTTTTGCAGTTCCTGGAGCTGCATCTCCAGCTTCGCCTTTTCCTCCCGCAGCCGGTTCAGCTCCCGGGTGGTGTTTGTGAGCAGCTCTGGGTCCGAGATGGAGAAGTGGAGCTCAGCAGGGCCACAGTCCACAGCACTGCTCCCCAGGGACCGGATCTGCTCTCGCTGGAGCCTGTAATGTGCCAGAGGGGTCAGTCCCTGGTTGTTTTTTTGGGTGACAACACTGAGCAGTTCTGCTGCTCCTGGAGGTACCATTCCCTTGGGACCTGCTGGTTTCTGGCCACCTGCAAAGGATAAGTGGGAGCATTCCTGGGAGAGTTTCTGAGGGGAGCTTGTCCTAGAGCTATTTGTAGCTTTTATACCACAAGTATTTCTGCTGCTTCCCACAGCCCAAGCTGCTGAGAGAGCTGTGGAGTGGAGCTGAAAGCACTGCAGGGACGGGCTGGGAGGTGGAGCTATTTGTGGTACCTCTGCATTTCCACACCATCCAGCGTGGGATCCATCTCTCACCCTGAATTTTATGTGGGAGAAACATATGTGCAAAGCAGCTCCATGATGTCCAGAGCACCCTGACGTGCAGCTGGAGGCACCTCGATCCTGGATTGTCAGGAGCAGGGAGAACGTGCACTCCACATCCCCTGCTCCCCCTGGGAGCCCCATTTGCCTCCCTCTAGGACAGTGGGGGGGGTGCTATGGGGCACTTCACTTGGTCCTGAAGGCAGAGGTGGCCCAGAGCCTGTCTGAGCCTTACCCATAGGCAATCAGCAGGTTCTCGTGCTTCTTCACCAGGTCCTTCATGCGTTTCTTGTACCCACGTGCTGCCCGTGCCAGCTGCTCCTCCCGAGACTTGTAGGAAGCCCGGATATCCTTCAGCATGTTGTCCACAAAGTGCTTCATGGCAGCATGATCAGCTGGGGCTTTGCTGTGTCCTGTCACGTGGTTGGATTTGCTGTCCATGTAGTTCTGTAAATGCACAGACAGAGGAATCGAGGGGGAATGGTTTCCTGCTGCCAGAGGGCAGGGTTGGGTGGGATACTGGGAAAGAATTCTTCCCTGTGGGGGTGGTGAGGCCCTGGCACAGGTTGCCCAGAGAAGCTGTGGCTGCCCCTGGATCCCTGGAAGTGTCCAAGGCCAGTTTGGACGGGGCTTGGAGCAACCTGGGCTAGTGGAAGGTGTCCCTGCCCATGGCAGGAGGTGGAATGAAATGATCTTTAAGGTCCCTTCCAACCTAACCCATTCTGTGATTCTAAGTCGGCCTCCCTCTGCACTCAGTTTTCCTGTATAGCCCTGCAAAATGATCTGTGAGTTTCTGCTGGGATTTTTCTTGGTCAGATAACGGGATTGAAAGATCCTCTTATTCACTTATTTAATCTTATTTATTTGCAGCAGCCTGCAAGAGGAGGGCAGCCAGCATGGAGAGATCTGAGGGAGTAGCTGGAGCTGCGTCAGGGCAGGGTTAGGCTGGATCTCAGGAAAAGGTTCTTCCCCCAGAGGGTTGTGGGCACAGCACCAAGGCTGCCAGAGCTCCAGGAGCATTTGGAAAACGCTCTCAGGGACAGGGTGGGATTGTTGGGGTGTCCTGGGCAGGACCAGGAGTTGACTCATGATCCTTATGGGTCTCTTCCAGCTCAGGATGTTCCATGATTCTGTGATACCCCCCAGGCCAGCAGAGCCCCCGGGGCTGGGGGTACCCACCGCCACGTCCCTGATGTACCGCGCCAGCCGGGAGCGATATTCCTCGTTCAGCTCCTTCAGCCGGAGCTGCAGCCGGGAGTTCTCTGCCTCCACCTCCTGCAGCTGGCTCTGGGACGTGAGCAGCACCTGGGCACAACAAACAAAGAAACTGCTGCCCTCCAGCCAAGGAGGGGGAACTGAGAAGCTCCATGATACACTGGAGATTTCCTTTCCAGATACTCAGCTTCGCTAGAGCTGGGAAGGTCCTGAGTTTTCAGAGACATCCAATGGAAATGTTTATAGCCTCAATTCCCCTGCTACCTTCTGTCATTTGCCACCTCCCCACCCCGGTGATTCCACCAACTCTTTCTAAAAATCAGTGAACAAAATTCCTCCCACCACCTGAGCAAGCAGCACCTTCCACCACGTGCGGAAGGAAACTGCACAGGGAGAAGAACCTTGGTGGGAAAAGCTCCCTGGAGAGGAAGAGGTGTCAGAGTACCTGGATACAAGGCATGCCCCCCTGGAAGCTCAGGAATAGCACGTGGCTTGAAGGAAGAGCAGGGGAAGGAAGCCTGTCCTCACCGCTGACTGCTCCACCAGCCTGCGCTGCGTGTCCCCGATCGCTCCCTTTGCCTCCTGCAGCTCCTTCCCCAGCCCCAGCCTGGACACACAGGAGGAAAATGTGTTATATTTTAACCCCCCCAAACTTCTGCCCCATCCCTGGAAGTGTTCAAGGCCAGGTTGGATGGGGCTGGTCTAGTGGAAGGTGGCAAGGGGGTGGAATGAGATGATGTTTAAGGCCCCTTCCAACCCAAACCATTCTGGGAGTCTCTGTAGGTCCAACACAGCCAGCCTGGGGAAGGAAATCACTGGGATGACAGAAATCTCCCAGCAGCAGCTGCCATCCCCCAGATGTGCATCAACCAGCACCACAGAACTCTCCCCATCAGAGATGAATGTCTTCCCCAGGCACAGGGTCTACTCCTGCAGCATCCCTGCTGGGGCAGCCTTTCCCAGAACATCAACCACATCCCATGACAATGGAAGACCCGCTGTGGGGGTAAGGGCTGGGGCTGGATTCATCTCTGGGCTGTCACACATTTGCTGTGTTTTACAGAATGTGGATTTTCAAGGTGTCCCTAAACACCACCAGCTTTAAGCAGGCAGCTGACTCCTTGAAGAGCCTTGAAAACATCAGGTTTTCCTTCCAGGTCTCACTTCTTCCAAGGGTGAATCATCATTCCCACCTTGTACCCCACCAGACACAGCCTGCCTCCTTCTCCTGCTCCCATGGATCGAATCCAGCTGCAGTGAAGCCCATAAATGCCCAGCCAAGCAGAAGGTGCCCCCAACACTTACACTCGCTCCTCCAGCTTCTGCTGCCAGTCGTGGGTTTTCTTCAGTTTTTCAAGCTCCACTTTTATGTGATCCTGGTTTCCAAGCAACTGAGGGACAAACAAAGAGGAAGATGAGGCAGAAGGCTGAGCAAAGAGAGGATGAAGTGAGGAGAGGCTCCAGTGAGCGTTGACATGCTGGGGAAAGGACTGGTTTAACTGGAAGGGACTGGTGCCCTGTAGCACACCAGAAATGGAGTCTGATCTGCACACAGGGCACGTGGAGGTGCACACGTGTCGCTCTCCCAAGGGAAATTCTCACGTTGAGAGCCACATTCCCAGCAGGAGCTGGTGGGGGTTTTGCAGGGACTGCAGATGGGGAGGAGGCTGAGAGCATCTCCCTGCTCTCAGTTTCGGGTGCTTCATCACCCCCAGCTTTCTCAAGTATGAGCAAGAAGAAAATAAGTGTCCTCTGCACCTGTTGGATTTTAAACTCCTGCCTGTGTTCACCCTGACAGGGCACGGCCCGAGGGCACCACCTGTGCCCTCCCTCAGCTCTGCCTGCACATCTGGAGTTACCCCAGCCTCATTTGGCAACTGCACAGCTTAAAAAATAATTTAAAATTAATCAGGGCATCAGCTGATCCACAAAACTCAAGTTAGCACAAGGAGGTGCCAGCCACAGTTGGAATCAATCCCCCCCTCTGTTTCCCAAGGATCCAGCAGCAGACCCCACACGCTCACGTTTCTCTCCAGCTCCTGCCGCTCGTGTCCAGAGGCAACTACATCTTCAGGCTGGTTTTAGGAGAGACAGAAGGGCCTGTTAGATCCTTGTTGTCCAAGGAGCTGGTGGAAGGGCAGAGAGTTCCTTACCTTCCCCCTCACTCTTTCCAGCTCCGCAGAGGATTGATGGGCCATGGCAGGCAGGTGGGTGCTCTCTGTGCCAGGAAGGGTGTTCCTGCCTTTGGCCAGGTTGAGGAGCTCTTGGGTGAGCTCTTCATTCCTCCTGACCTGCCAGGGCAAACAAGAAGGAAAGAAAATCCTCCTCACCTGCTGCTCCTAATGTGTGCACGAGGCAGGCACCCCTGTACCCTCCCAAAAGCAAGTTTTAATTTTAGTTCTCTCTCCTATGGTCTTATCTCCACCGGTCCAAAGATACGAGTGATTTCCTAGTTCTCATGGAAATGCATTTCCAGGCAGCAGGGTTATTCCCATGGAACCTTATCCCTCTGCCTGTCTCTCTCTCACATTCAGATCCAGATCCCAGTGCCAGCCCTGGGCACAGCTCTGCCACCACCTCTCCTGGCCTCCAGCTCTCTCCTCACTCCAACCCTGCACCCTCCATGCAGCTTCCCAACACCTCTGGAACGTCTTTCCCCGTGGAACAGCTTTGAACAGTGCTGGACTCCATAATACAAGAGAAGGGCCAAATCTCCATCCTTCTGTCCATCCCTGCTGCCACAATCCCAGTTTGGTTGGGATGCATCCCCCAGCAGCAGCCAGCCCACAGCTCCGTGTAGGCAGCAAGATTCAAAGCAGTGCTGGTGTGAAGTGACACATTTCCAAAAGATAAAGAGGATCTGAATGAGAAAAGCTCTGTTACAGGTGATCTGGAAGGAACACTGGGGGAATTCATGTCTCCCGGGAGGGTTTCTGTGTAGATAACAAAGCTTTGATGGGGTTTATGACTGGGGACAAGCTTGAGTAATTGTTACCATGGCAGTGAATCGGGAGGATGGGAGGCAGAGGTCATCTGAGTCATCCGTGGAGAGAATAGCTTATCAAAAGATAGCACAGGGTGGGCTGGGGGAGAGCGAGGAGAAAAGAGGCTGACAAAGAGGTGAGATATACAGCTGTGAAACCTGACAGCTCCGCAGAGCCAGCCCACTTGTTCCCCAGCCCAGAGCGATCCATCTGCAGCTGTCAGCCCCGACAATTCGATCGGAAAGGGGGCACAGCTACCGGTTTAGCCAAAAAAAGAGGCAGTCCCGGGTTTGAGCTGGGCTTCGCTGAGCTCCCGAGCCTGGCCCGGCTCCAGAGAAAACCCCGGCGTGGAACCCGGCTCGCAGGCACTGGGTCCCCTCCGCCGAGCGCCGCCGCAGCCGCGGGACAAAGGGAGAAGGAAACTGGGAGCTAGGAAAGGTCAGAGCCTTGAAAAGGAAGAATTTACAGCGAGTCAGAAAACAGGCACCAAGTGCCTGACTGGCACCTTCTGCAAGGCGCTTCCCAAGGGCTGGGCAAGGCCGGCTCTGCGGCCGGGACAGCCCCGGGGCGGTGTGTGAATCCAGCACAAAGGGCGCCCGACAATTCAGCGGCTCCAACTGTTCCCGGCCAAGGGGCCGTGAATGAGTTCGCGGAGCTGCTTCTGCGCCAAGCAGCCATGACAACATATTGGCAAGGTCACAAGTAGCACTTGTAATTGGGAATGTGTAAAAGGTTCATTGTCTCCCCAGAAGAGCGCCGGGGAAGGGGAGGGGACAGAACCGCAGGCTGCTTTTCCCATTTCCTTTGGGAAAGTCCACACTGGGAAAATAATGAGCAAGAGGCCCATGTCGCGACAAGTCCCAGCCTGCCAAGTCGGAGCCTTTCTGGCTTCAAGCAGGGATATCTGGTAGTCAGAGCCAAGCTGAGGGTAACCCCCTCAGCATATGGATTACATCCAAGGAATTCACCTCTGGCTTCTGGGCCATGCTCCACTGCTTCTGGGAACGACCTGGTCTAGTGAAAGTGTCCCTGCCCATGGCAAAGGGTAGAACAAGATGGGCTTTAAGGTCCCTTCCAACCCAGGCCATTCCATGATTCTATAATTCTTCGGGATGCTATCCAGGCACAGAACTGAGTCCACGTGTTTTCACCCTCTGAAACATTCCAGGATCCATGTGAAAACAGTGTGTTATTACCTCTAACTCGCTAAACCCATCATTTAGAGATGTCAGCTGCCTGAAAATCCAATTTTTGATAAACATACTGCACCCCCTTGGGGACAAGGAGCAGCTGAGAGTGAACATGGAGCTATTCCTCCATGAGGAGGGAGCAGAGCAGCTCTGCCTTGTGCTCCAGTGGGATGACAGGGTGGCTTCACCCCTCTCTGAGAGCTGAGCTTGCCTCCTTGTAAGAAATTCCCATTTCTCAGCTTATGGAAGACAGATGATCAGCTCACAGGGGTCACTAACCCATGGCATGATCATGATCCTGTATCCTCCTCCACCAGAGCTTTGCAGACCATCCAGACAGACCCGACCAAACAAACGTGCCTGGTCCCAGCTCCACATCTTCCCACCACAGCCCAGCATGGAAAACCAGGTCATTTAGCTGAACCAGCGAAACTATCTGCTGGGGGAGGGAGGCAGGAGGGTGTCAGTCATTCCGTCCAATTTAAAAAGGAGAAGAAGCAGGAGAGAGGAGAGGGAGGGGAGAGAGGAAGGGCTATTGAAGTAGCTGTTCTTGCCAAAGAAATACACAAATCCAGGTCCGAAAAGACTCTGGTTAATAATTGCTAAGCTAACAGTCACCGGGACGGTGACTATCTTTTAAGGAGCCATCAGAAACTTGCTCGAATTCAGTGTTTTTATGAAGCTGTCTGCCTAAAAGCTCCCAGGCCCCTTCCCGCCGCTGCCCGAAAAGAGAGCGGCTCCAATCCGTTCCCGTGCAGCCCGCGCAAGCCAAGCAGAAAAAAGGGAAACAAAGCGCGCTGGCAGCGCGGGGGGAGCGGCCCCGTGTGCCCGGGCCAGCCCCGCCGTGACCCCCGGGAACAGGGATGGGGCCGGCCCGGAGCGGGAGCTGTGCCAGCGGGGCCGGGATCACTCGGGTCAGCGTGGGCTCAGCGCCCACCCCGCTGCGCAGAGCGGGTCCCACAGACCCCGCGAGGGGGGGGAGGTGTGACAGCAAACCCCCGGCTCTGCAAACAAACCCGGGGCCGTGTCACCGCTGAGGGGTTGGACCTGCCCCGGCCGTGTGCCCTGGGCTGATCCCACAGCGTGGGCAGCAGGGGAGGGGGATTCTGCCCCTCTGCCCCCTCAGGTGAAACCCCCCTGCAGAGCTGCCTCAGGATATGGGGGAACCAACAGCACAACGATGTGGAGCTGTTGGAGAGAGTCCAGAGGAGGCCACGGAGATGCTCCAAGGGCTGGAGCCCCTCTGCTCTGGAGCCAGGCTGGGACAGCTGGGGGGGTTCACCTGGACAAGAGAAGGCTCCAGGGAGACCTGAGAGCCCCTTGCAGGGCCTAAAGGGGATCCAGGAGAGCTGGAGAGGGACTGGGGACAAGGACCTGGAGGGACAGGCCAAGGGGGAATGGCTTCCCACTGACAGAGGGCAGGGTTAGATGGGATATTGGGAAGGAATTGTTGGCTGTGAGGGTGATGAGGCCCTGGCACAGGTTGCCCAGAGAAGCTGTGGCTGCCCCATCCCTGGAAGTGTCCAAGGCCAGGTTGGACGGGGCTTGGAGCAACCTGGGCTAGTGGAAGGTTTCCCTGCCCATGGCAGGAGGGGAGAGTTGGGTGGCCTTTAAGAGGCCCCTTCAGCTCAAGCCATTCCCTAATTCTGTAAACAAGCCTCACTGGAGCTGAGCTGTGACACGAATACACAACCCAAAGCCACCAAGCTGCCTGTACATCAGAGGAATGTGAGACGGAGCCGGGAACACCGGGATGAGCACTGGAGTCTGTCTCACCTCCTGGTCCAGCTCTTTCCCAAGGGCCAGGTAGTTGCTTTTCAGAATGATGTACTCCTGTGCCAGCTCCTTCCGAGCGCTCTCCAGGGCTCGCAGGCGCTCCCGCAGGGAATCTCGCTCCCCCGTCACCTTCTCACTGCACAGCTCCAGCTCCCGCACACGGCTCTCCAGGGCCAGGATCTGCAGGGTGAAGTCAGCAGGATTAGACTGTGGCAGAGACCAGGAGCAGTCACAGGGAGATGAGTTTCATGGGAGTTTCATGATATCTGGGATGTCAGGGGGGAATGTAGCTCTAGGCAGAGCCAAGAGAATATGCCAAGCAAAGCAAAGGTGGGTGCATAAGGAGCTGGACTGCCGGATAAAGGCATTGGCAGGGCAGAAATCGGCTATTCCAAACTTCTGGATACCATATTTTTCAGTTCAAAGTTCTCCGTCTCGTACTGCTCCTTCATTTTGTTGGTCTCTATCTGGAGATCGACGAGGTCCTTGGAAATCTAGGAGAAGGAAGGACCTAATTAAAGCCATGGATGGATTCTGAGGCCAACATGATGTTTAAGCACAACACACATCCCTCTAGAGGGAGGAATTCCCCCCCAGATTTCCTGCTGTGGATCTACAGACCTCTTACAGACTCACAGCTCAGTTCTCGCCAACTCTCAAAGTTTTACCTTCAGTTTTTCCTCTTCACTGAAGAGCACCCTGGCTGGGAAATCTGTCTTGGAGCTAGCCAGCTTCCCCATCCCCTCCTGGGAGTCTCCAAGCTGGTACATCCCATCGTTCCCATCCTGCAGCTGCACCTGGAGACACAGAGCAGCTCCCACAGCGGGTGCCAGCCGAGCCCTCCTCCCACCACATGCTGCTGGAAGAGCTCAGCTTTTCAGAGCCTGAACAGATTCTAGATGGGATTTTCAGCTGCCATTTTCCTCCTGTGGTGAGGATTTCCTTGGCAGAGCCTCTTCCATCACCCGGGAAGGGGCTGCAGACCTTCACACTTTTATTTTTCATTAGCAAGGTGCTGCACATGCTCTGTCACAGCACTCACCTTCTCATTCTCTGCAACAATTCCAAGATCCATGTGCTCAGAGGCCGAGATCTCAGCACGGTGTGGGGCAGGCAGCAACTGAAAAGCAAAGGAAGGATCTAAGGATCTCTAAGGAACTTCTCCCTGGAGGTCCAGCACTGTTGCTATCAACTTTGGTTACTGGAGGGTGTGGCATCCACCTCGATTTTAAGGTGGAACCAATAATTCCAGCCACCCCGGGAGCTGTTAGAGGGAAGGAAATTAAATTTCTGGGGAGGCTTTTGTATTCCCAAGTCAGCTCACAACAGATACTGGAATAAGCAGCTCAGGAAACACCCCCAGCGGAGCAATATTGCCATTTTGGAGGTACCACACTGTCATGGACCATTCCCAAACCTGCTGTAGGGGTGGCCTCCATCTCTAGGGCAGGGATCTTCCAGTACTTAAAGGGGGCTGATGAAAAAAGAGGGAGAGCAACTTTTTCCACGGACAGATTGTGCCAGGACAAGGGGAATGGCTTCCCTCTGCCAGAGGGCAGGGTTAGATGGGATACTGGGGAGAAATCCTTCCCTGTCAGGATGGGGAGGCCCTGGCACAGGTTGGCCAGAGAAGCTGTGGCTGCCCCTGGATCCCTGGAAGTGTCCAAGACCAGGCTGGACGGGGATTGGAGTAACCTGGGCTAATGGAAGGTGTCCCTGCCCATGGCAGGGGGTGAAACAAGATGAGCTTTATGGTCCCTTCCAACCCAAACCATTCCATGACTCTATGATCTGATTAACCCATTAATTAACCCATTAACACTACCATCTGCTCCAAACCATCCAGGAGCATCTAACTTGCTTCTGGGCAACTTTCTCTTGATCTCTGCAGTCCTTGTACCTCTCGTGTCAGTGAATCACCCAAAAGGTCCCAGGATCTGGGAGCTGTGATCAAGCTGAAGCTGGTGACAGAAAAGACCTTTCCCAGTTTACCCCTTCACATCAGGGATACTGTGTGGACAAAATCTAAACTTCAAAGCAAAGCATGCACTGAAATCAGCCCAGATTAGCCCAGACAGTGCAAAAACTGGGTTGTGCTGGTCTACACAGTGCTGCTGGCTCCAAACTGGGACCAGCTAGGCTGGAATAGGACAAATCCCATGTGTGCAAAGCTAGAAGCACTTGAAGAGTCTCCAAGGTAAGAGTGAGGGTAAAAGGGAGTGTAGGGCATGGTGGATAGTGCTGGAAAACCCTGAACAGGGGTAAAACTAGATGGACTAGATGACCTTTAAAGGTCCCTTCCAACTCAAACTAGTCGATGATTCTATGACTCTAAAATGAATTCCAGTTCTTAATCTCCTCATTTCAGGCTTATTATCGCTGCTATTTCTGTAGAGTGGGTGAGTTTAGGTAAGAATCTGTCTTTTAAAGAAGAAAAGCTTTGACAATTAATGTTCAAAAAAGACCACAGCTCTGAATAACTCTTCTGGATCTGTCAGAGCCAAGAGGATGAGAGGGAGAGGGGCCATCCTGACAGAAGCTCCATGCCAAGCAAAACTCCTCACCTGGTCCAGGCTGCTGGAGAAGCCCCTCGAGGGGGATTGAATGAAGGTCCATGGATGTGATACCCAGGGACTGAACATTCCGGGGGCTCTGGGGAAGGAGAAGCCAACAGAACGTCCAATTAGGGCTTATTTTTCTGCGAAAGAACTTAACAGACCTGAAGTAATTTTATTAAGGTAATGAAAGTGCTGATGAGAATTCACAGCCTCTTCACACCCACCCAGGAGCTGAAAGCCAAATTCACACCCTGCCCACGGCGGAGGGGGCTCAGCACATGGGGGAGCTGAGCAGCAGCTCCACTCCCCGGGCACATGTTGCGTCCTGAGGGGTCTCAGCCCCACAGGGACACCCCAAGGATGGGCACTCAGGCTGTCCCAGACCCCAGGACACCTAATTTAGGAGGGCAAACAGCCCGTGCCACCACGGTGGCACAGCCAGGTTCTTCCTGATCCTCAGGGTGCCCATTTCACATGGTAGAGGACAATTAACATCCATAAATATGGCATTAGTTATGCAAACCCACCTTGGTGGCAGGTGTCCTATGGGCACCAGGAATGACAGTGCCCACTCTCCCCATGGTTTGGGAATATGAAGCAAATTTTGTCCTGGTCCACACCACAAAAAGCAATTTTGGGCTGAGAAATGAGTTTTTAGGGTGTCACTGCAGCCCCGAACCTCCATCCCTGCTCCAGAGTAAAACCAAACAGAAAGTCTGTGTTTTGTTAACCCACCAAAGGCCAGCTCTGTACCGAGGGCTTGTCACTCTTGCTGTCAAGGACGCCTTAACCACAGCAGCTGTGGCGGCTGGGTCACCCTCGTGCTCCAAGGTACCAACCTCTCCCCTGGGATGCAGCACAAAGACGGAGAAACGCTCCCAAACCCACAGGAGTTCAAGGGGAAGCAGGTGCAATATTTGTAGCCTGCAGCCCACCGGGCCGATGCCGCTGTTTGTTGTCCCGTCCCCTCCAGCCCCGCAGCCCTCGGCAGGGTCACACACCGCGCTCGGGCGGAGCGGGGGAGCAGCCCCCGCCTTCCCCGGAGCCTTTCGCAGGGCCCGGCACAGCGTTAGCGCAGTGACTGGCTCCATCTGGCTTCCAGCGCCAGCAAAGGGAATTTGCGTTCGCTCCTGGATGCAGCGGAGCCCTGCTGGGAGGCGGGTGGAGCACCGGGAATGCCCGGTGTGGTGGGAGCAGCCCACAGCGTCACCTGCCTGGAGGCACAGAGGTGCCCAGCCGTGGCACCCCCAGGCCAGGCTCCCACTGATCCCCCCCAACCCATTTTCTTTTTATATCCGACCTAAATCCACCGTCTCCCAGTTTAAAGCCATCACCCCTTCTCCTGTCTTGACGGCTCTCGAGGAAAAGCTTCTCTCCATTGCTCTTCCAAGGCCCCTCAGGTATTGCCAGGCTGCCACAAGGTCTTCTCCAGCTGGACAGCCCCTGCCATCCCAGCCTGGGGAAGGAAGAGGAGGAGGGAGCTGGAGCAGCTCTCTCAGCTCTCCCTTCCCATGGTCCCCCCTGGACCTGCTCTGACCCATTGGGGTGTTCCCTGTGCTGGGATCCCGGCGCTGGATGGGTGAGAGTTCCAGGGGCGTCAGGAGGGAGGATCATCTCCTTGGCCCTGCTGAACAAGCTGCTTGTGCTGCAGCCCAGGAGGTGTTGGGTTTGATGGACTGCCAGCACCCACTGCTGCCTCATGTCCCTTTTGTCACCCCCCTGGCATCTCCAGGTCCTTCCCCACGGGGCTGAGAAGGAGGGCTGGGATGGGGCAGGCACGGAGGTGACAGGAGGCAGTGGGGGGGTTGTGGCCATGCAGTCCCAGGCAGGGGGAGGGTGTGTGGCCCATTCTCCCCAACCAGGCACCCCGAGGACCAGGCTGACCCCTCCACCCAGCAGCTGCTGTAGGGCTGGCATAGAACCCACCAGGGCTGGAGAGCTGACCTGGGACACGGACCCCTCCCCCCTTCCTGGCACACCAGCACTGTCATCAAGGTGAGTTAGGCAAGGTGGCTGCCTCCCATCCCTCTGTTCACTCCCCAAACCCAGCTTTGACCTGGCAGCCACTGCTGGGACAGGCTCTCCTGTCCCCACACATCTCCAACCTCCCGCTCCCCGGGTTTCTTCTTTTCCCCAAACCTCAGTGTTTGGGAATTTTCCCATCTGTGTCTCCAGCAACAGCCTGGCCACCCTGAGTCATGCCTTGGGGATGTCCTCACCTCTCCCAGTCCAACCAGTCCAGCCAGGCTGGGCTGGTGGTGGGGTTTCACGTGGCCACCAGGGCTGTAATTGGCTTTCCCGAGAGCCTCTGGCGCATCCGGCACCTTTCCCAACTTTCCCAGCACCCGTGGCAGGGCAGGAACTGACACTTGGTGATGCCCATGGGGACCTTTGCCAGCAGCTGCCAGGCCCCTGTGCCCCCACTCCCAGGTCCCCATCTCCAGTGATGGGGACCAGGGTGGCCAGAAACGTGGGTGGCCACTGAGCACCAGGCCAAGCCCCACTCCTGGGGCCTGGTCCCTGCTGGTGTCCCCAGGAGTGGCACAAGCTCTGGGGTGCTGGTGTCACCCATCCCAGCTCTCTCAAGCAGCAGCATCAGGGCTGGCACGGTTTTGGTTGGGGATGAGGAGCAGGAGTGCTGGTTGCCCTGGCAATGAGAGATGGTCTCCTCCAGACAGCAACAATATTTGGAAAAATTTGCTAAAAATACTCCCTAACTCAGCTGTGACAACACCACGTGTGTCACATCCCTCCTCCCCTCAGGGCTCAGCCTGGCTTGGTGCTGTCCCTGCTGGTGTCCAGAGCTGTCTCTGGTCACTCACCCTGGTGGGTGGGGATGGACCAGAGAGCTCCTGGGGTCCCACAGCAGACCTGGCAGGGCCACCAGCACCATTCCCTCCCCAGTTCAGCCAGAACAGGGAGCCAGGGGCAGCTGGTGGCATTTCCCACACCCAGGGAACTGGGAAGCTCCCTGGGGAGGGACCTGCAGGCACGGGAGGGCTGCTGGGGAAGGTAAATGATTCCTTAGAGTTTAAATAGGCTTGAAAACTACTTTTTTATGATTTTGCTGCTTTTCCTAATACCATTACAGCCTTCTCCATGGCAACCAGGGGAGGCGGCTCAGACTTTGGTCCCAGCCAGGGAGATTATCTGTCAAAGCTGAAGAGATGGGGGGATCAAGTGGGGAGGTCCACAGTGGCCAGGGACACGGTGGGAGGAGGACATCCATGGTGGGGACCTAAATGAGGTCCCCAGGGTGGCTGTGGAGCCGTGGTACAATGGGCAGGTGGAGGTCCAGGTGTTCAAGGTGGGCTCATGGTGATGCTGAAGGGATCAACGTTCACGGGGTTCCAGCCACAGGGGGTGGGACACATCTGGAGGAGATGCCCTCAGGGAGGTTTAAAGGTGGAGACAGGTCTAGGAGAGATGCCTCAAGGACCTTTAAAGGTGGAGATGGGTCCAGCTCCTCCCTGCACCGCAGCCACACTGGGAAGGGATTTGCTTATTGACTCTCTTTACTCTCCCATCACATCTCATTTGACATTTTCCCAGAATGGGCTGCTGAAGGCAGGGATAAACCTGCTCCCAGCCACAGGCAGGGCTCATTTAAACTTCCCAAAGAGGTTTGTGGGTTTTGGCTGGCTGAGCTGTGCTGGCTCAGCTCTTTTTAGCTTCCAGATTGATTACACCTTGTGTCAATATGTGCTCAGTGCCTATTAGTGTGTGTGTGTACCCCCATCCCGTGTTTCTCCCTTCTGATCTATAAATTCCCAGAAGAGAGGATTAAAATAGAGGGGGAGGAGAATGGCACTCAGGGCCAAAAGGGAAGGGAGAAAGCAGTGCCTGTGGGAAAGTTGTGTTGCAAGGCTGGAGCCTGGATGTCTCGCTCCAACACGTCTTCCCATGGTCATGGAACTGCCCGAGCTCAGTGATGAAGAGCTGAGATGTGGCCCGTGAAGCTGGGGGGAAATGCCAGGCTCCCATGGGAATGGGCATGGTGGGGACACCCATGGTGTGGGACTGGTGGTGGACAGCTTCCCTGTTCCATCTCCACCTCCCAAAGCAGCCTGGTGGGAACTGGAGCTGGGGGAGATGCCAGGCTCCGATGGACAGTGGTGGAGAGCATCCCTGCTCCACTTGCAGCAGGGGGGAACCAGGGCTGGGAAGAACAACACTGGTGGGAGATACCTGTTCCTGGAGGTGAATGATGTGAATGACGCCAAACTTCATCTTCAGGGAAGGACAGGGTTACCAGGACATGGGGAAGGGTTGGCTGTGGCTTTTCCATCCAGCAGCCACTGGCCACGAGGCTCCTCTCGCTGGGGCTTTCTCTTTCTGCCCTGGAAAGTGGTAAAAGATTCCACAGAACCTGTGTTGGAGGCTGGTGGGGAAATGCCCAGGGACACAGGATGAGGTCATCAGCCTCCCCAGCATGGTTTTGAGGAGCAGCCAGGGGCAGCGTGTGATCTGTCAGCCCTGGAGCACCATTCACATCACCCCACTGTCCAGGGGACCCTCACAGCCACCATTTCACCAGTGGGAGATTGGGTCCTGATGCAGCATGAGGACCCACTGCCAGGGCTTATCCCAGGGCATCCCTGGCAGAGGAGGGCAGGCACCCAAGGAAGGGTCAGTGTTCAGGACCCTCCAGGAGCTCAGGACAGGGTCATGGGACACCCTGTGAGGTTGCCCCATCCCTCCTTCCACCCTCACTGCCCACTCAAACCCCATCTCTGGCAGGATCCCCATCACTCCATCAGATTCCTGGATATCTCACTCCACCCCCTTTTCCCGAGCTGCCCTAAAGGCAGTTACAGACCAGGGGGAGCAGCGAGGAGCCCGTCCCGGTGCCAGTAACGCCGGCCAGGCTGTCCCGGGGGCTCAGCCCAGCCCGGCCCAGCAGCAGTGGGGTTAAGCCCGGCCCAGCAGCAGTGGGGTTAAGCCCGGCCCAGCAGCAGTGGGGTTAAGCCCGGCCGGGCGGGCGGCTGGACAGGCGTCAAGGTGGTTGCTCCATCCATCCCTGCAGGCGGCGGGGCCGGAGAGCGGAGCGGGAGCGGGAGCAGGAGCTGCCCTGCCCGTCGCCATGAGCGCAGGCAAAGGTGAGGCTGGGGAACCTGCCCCTGGGCCGGGCTTGGGCTGGGGGGACACCCTCAAACTCTGCTGGGGCTTCAGTCACCCTTCGCTCTTCTCCTCCTCCACTGCTGATTATACATTCTGGGGGCCCCCGAGCTGCCGGGGGGGCCTGCAGGCACTGTAGGGCAGAGCACAAACCTGGCTGGGGGCTGCAGGGGTGGGCAGGGACTGCAGCACAGAGACCCCCTGGCTCCAAGGAACAGCAAGTTAAGGGGAGGCAGCTGGGGAGGAAGGAGGAGAGGGTACTGGGGGGCCTTTCCCCATGAAAGGCAGAAGCTGCTGCAGCCACTGCAATATAGAGATGAGTTCTGGGGGTCCATGCTCGAACTCTGAGGAGTCTGAGCCGTGGCAGGAGTGGGGGGTGATCCCACACCCTCTCCCAAGGGATCCAACCTCTGCAAACTGCTGCAGCTGCCCTGCGTGTGCAAAGGGCTGGGACTGACCCCTCCACCCCCAACTCCAGCAGTGCAGGCAGCCGGCAGG